TATAAAACGTTGTCTGGCTTTAAACAAAACCCACTTTGCCTTAACAAATAAATCCCAGCCCTGCCTGCAGGAGAATACATTTGATACGGTCCCGAAGGTCAGCTCAGCCCTGCAGAGAGGCTCAAGGCACTGGGAGGCAGAGGAATGCTGCAGGTGCTTGGGGTTGTCTTCGGCACAGCACAGCCCTGTCGCAGCTGCGTGGGCTGAAAACTTCGGCTGCAAACAGCAGCTGTTGCTGCTCCCCTTGCTGGCAGCAAGGCAGGGCTGAGTTCTCAGCCCAGAGCTGCTGTCTTCCATGTAGTTTCCAAAGGATGTCAGTGCTCTCTCCAGCGTACAGAGGCTGCCCAAGGTCTGAGTCATAAGTTTTCAAAGTGGCTTCTGGAGCTCAATTCAAATGATCCTAGTGGCAGAGGAGCCCTGATGGCTCCTTGGTGCTCTGTGTGTGATGGTTTGTTCCAGCAGTGGGCTTGACTTGCAGGCTGTTAACTCATTTGGGTACTGAGAGCGTGGTGGGATGACCTGAGGCTGGTTAGATTCCATCTCTGAACCTGTGTCTGAGTGTGGTTGTTCTGTGCATCTGAAGTGGTTGTTCTTCCCTTGCAGACAACAGCCATGCTCATCAGCATTCCCTTTGGCAAGTTGTAGCTTCTCTGAATTTACCAGAAATTCTCTTCACTTGGAGCAAGTAAAAGAAATGCCTTTAGAGTTGAGATTCACACCCATCATCCTCGTCTTTGACTGTGTTCTAGCCAACTGTGAGTTATTCCTGTTGTCTTAGTTTGGCTTTAGAAGATGTCCTTATTGGAGCAAGGGAAAAATCCTGATACTGCGGATGGATCATGAGATGAGTTCATGCAGATGAGTAACGGCTGCTCTTGTAGATCCTTCTGCGTTGTTACCTTTCTATGTCATTGCAGCTGAGTTATCTCCCCAGAGAGCCCCACCTTGGAACAGGAAGTGCCTGCAGACAGTTCCTTTTAAAAAAAAAAAAAAAAAAGGGAAAAGGCACAAATGCAGATGTTGCTAAAAATGCAGCTTGCGTCAAAGCTCTGAGCCGGAGTGGGTTCCCACGCCTGGTTTGTTTTTCTCCTCGGGCTGTTTCTTAAGTTGCAGAAGTGTTGAGTGGTGAGAGATGGCCTTTGGTGGAGAACCACTTCCCCTTGTCTCTGTGCCCTCGGTGCTGTCACCTCTGCTGACAGTGTTACTGAACCCTTTTCGGTAAGTCACGGCCCTTGTTTTGCCCGGCACTGGGTTTGTTTCTGTTTTGGGTGTCAGAGAAGCCTGGACTTGCCTGTGTGTGCTGCCAGCTGACCCGGTGGATACAAATGTCAGTGCAGGGCAATCCTCAGTTATCCTTGCCTTTTCCATTTCCCTGTTTTTGTGGGAGGGGTTTGGTGGGGGTTTTTATTAGTGCCTGGCACTATGCTTTACACGGCCCTGAGCTCTGGCCTCTGTGAAGAGAACTAAGCACCTTCATCACTTGCCTAGAGCAGAGGCTTAAACTGGAAGCCAAACATTGCTTCCCTCTATTTAATTAATTAATACTGTTGGCAGTTATTAAACCAGGTGCTTTAAAAAGTAAACAAGGGAAATAGGGATGTTGTTTATCAAAAAACAAATTGCAGGGAAGGTGAAAGAGTTAAGTGCTTTTCCGGGGAGGGATGCTGGAGGGTGTGATGCTCTTATCTGGTGTTTTGATGGAGAAGTGCCCTTGGCTGCCAGGCTGCACATAATTCCAGCTGCATACCCAGCTGCTGTTGCACCCTTGGCTGGGGGACTGATGCTTTATTAACCAGGACTTTTGTTGTGGCCAGGTAAAGTGGGTGGAAGGCTGGTGGTGAGGGCCAGTCCCAGAGCAGGTGTGATGCCAGACCCCAGGCCTGCCTGCGGAGGAAGGGAATCAGTCAGTCAGGGAAGGGGAGCAGGAAGAGGGAGGGAAGTGGCTTGAGGTGCTGAAAAATAGAGCAGATTGTTTGGCCTGCCCTCCTGTAACTCCTTTCACACCAGGCACAGCAGGCTGCAGGGGAATTGCTGCTCTAGCTGGGTGCATCCTGGCTGCTCCGGAGTTTGCTCTCATGTCCCTGGCTGCCCTCTCTCCCTTCCTCCAGGCCTGGCTCCGTGGCCTGAAGAATGAGCTAAGTATTGATGCCTGCTGTGCCACTTTTGCCGGCCTTGGAATTTTGGTCTTGGGTTTGTGTTTTGCAGCCGATGGATTAAAGGAGGATAACAGAGCTGAGGATGATGATCAGCTGCTTGTGTTAGAGCAGAATCCTGTGGGACTCTGGAGGGAGCAGCTTGGCTTAAAAATGACAGGAGCTAGGCACATTATTTTTTTTCCACTTCCTTATAGGCACCTTGTGTAATGCATCTCTTTCCTGTCATGTTTAGTTGCTGGCTCTTCAGACAGTGCCTTTCCCTGCTGACATCCCTGGTACTGTAGGGACACTTTCCATTTTCAGGGCTTGGGCTGCTGATGCTCCCAGTTAGTCAGTGCCATAGTTAGCTTGTGTCAGTCTTTACCGTCAGACTTCCCTGCCTGCTTTCATCAGTGTTCTTGCTTTTGTTTGCCTTTGGTCTGACCAGCTGCTGGAGGGGCAGGGTACATCCTGCAAGTGGGTTGGAGGCGGGAAGCCCTTCCTGATGGTGCACAGTGCTGCCAGACAGCTTCGTGTGTCTGCAGAGCTTGTGCTGGGTGGTGGTTGTGTCCCAAGAGATGCCCTTTAGGAAAACTTCCTCTTGCTTAGGAGCTGGAAGTCTCTGTGGTAATTGCACAACTCTCTTGTCATGGGGAGCTAAGGCTGGAGCCAGGTTTGGTGTTGAACTCCCAATGCATCCTCCTGGTGCTGAGCCATGCTCAGTAACTCTTCAGATGCTGCTTCAGAGCACATTTTTGCAGGGTTCTGATTAATACTTGCAGCTGACAGAAACTGTGTTTGCATTTCTAGAAATCATAGAGGCAGTGGACTTCTATTCAAATGTCAAGTACCTCGAAATCTGCATTCCTCCTCCTATCACTTTTTAACCTCTGTGTTTCTTCTCAGGATGAGGGTGGCCGGGGCAGGAGTTTGTGACCTCGTTGCAGTGCCCCTGTGTGCTTTGGGCATGGCTGTGAGGAGGTTTGCTCCTTGCTACACTGACCTGCTTCATGTGTGTTACACAGAGGGTCATGGTGGAAGGACTTCTCCTGCAGAGCCTGTCGGGGGTTGGTGCCAGCTCTCTGGCTGTGCTAGTTGGCAAGTGCCTGACTAAGGGCTGGGCTGGACAGGACAGAGCCTGCTGTAAAGGAGCTGCTCTGTTGAGGAAGTAGAGCCAACTTTGGGAAAGTCATCCTCAGGCTCACAATAACTTAATTAAGTGTGTATTAGGATAAAACATTGCCAGAAGCTGTTCAGGTGCCTCCTTGCTTTCCTTGCCATACTCCTAAAAAGCTTTTCTCTCCTTTAATGAAACAGTTTCAAAAGAAAACTACAAGGTTCCTTTCTGAGTGTTTTTCACTGAGGACTGAGAATTTCTCACTGAAGCTGGTGTGTGGTGCAGATTCACCTCCTGCCTGGTGGAGCAGCTCCTCTGGTGGAAGACATTGTCGTGGCAAAGTGTCCAGTGATTCACGTTGTCATGTCACTTTGGTATAGCCCTTAAACCAGTAACACTTTCTCTTTTGTGCCTTCCAACCACTGTGTTTGGTGTTTGTGGTTTATGAACGGGGCTGTGCAGAGTAGCAGCTAGGAAAGCATTTACTATTTGTTTGCCATCTGTAAGTTCTATTTGGTTCCCATTTTGTAGGATAATGAGAATTGAACTGTGCAGTGTTTTCCTCACACAGGAGGAGCTCAGCCCCTGGGCAGCAAGTCAGTCACTTGTTTCCTGCTGTTACTGCTGGTTAGAGCTGGAGTCTTCTGAGGGCAATATCTCTGCTTTTAGTGCAAGACTTTAAATAGTTCTGATGATGTGACTCGTACAATTTCTGCAACATCTTTTCTGCCTGGGAGAAAAATTGGTACAAGTAGCAATTTCCGTAGGAGTTGCTTAAGTCTTCCGCTCGTGTTGGTTCTCTTCCCAGCGAGCAGTGGATTACAAATACCACATCACTGGTGGCCTTGAGGTTGCTGCTTCATTAGATGTGAACATGGAATAGAAGGGGTTCTTTTCCCCCAGGTGTAGTGCTGAGGATTGCTTGTGGCTTTAATAACTTTCCTAAGTATGTCCCAAGTTGGTCTTCTCCAGAAGAAAGCCACTGTGCAGTACAGAGTGCTGATGACAAGCCTGGTGTGCTGCTAACACACAGCTCAGCTTTGTTACCTCTGCCAAGTTGGCTCCTTGTCTTCTGCTGTCCTGGATTCAACTTCTCCCCTAACCACGTTGAGTGTCTTAACACCCAGTCTGTTCCAGGAGATTGTTTCAAAGAGCATCGAAGCTCCTGTAGGCTCTGGCAAACCAAACTTGGGGAAGCATTTCAAAGCGCAGGTTACCCCTGGGAGCCACCGAGCTGTCAGCAGGGTGAAATCAGTGGTGGATGGCAGCACAGCTCTGCCTTCCTGTGAGCACAGTCCTACATCAGGAGGGTTGTTTGGAGCCTTAATTACCTTTTTCACACACAGCTTTTCTATCTTTTGTGCTTCTGAAGCACCTCAGAGTGGGGCCTGCTGTTAGCATCTCACTGGGGGAATCCTCTCTCCTTACATATCAGGGCCAGTCTCCAAAGGTGATCTTACCCTGAAATATGAAGGTTTTGGGAAAGATTGTGGTGGGGGCTCTCGAGCAGGATGGACCCAAATCGAGCAGCTGGACATGAGGATGTCAGACCAGGGATGACTTTTTTAATCCCTGTAGTGCATCACAGGCACCAGAATCATCATCTCCTGAAAGACCAGTGTTAAGCTTCATTGGTAGTTTATTCTTACAGCTCTTTGGACTTTCCTATGAACTTCCTGCCTTTCCTCCCAAGATTTTCTTTGCTGCTTGGATGTCAGAGCAAGGGCTTAGCTGTGTGTGTGTGTATTATGAGTTTCTTTGCTGGGTACTGATGTGTGGCAGGTGATGCTGAGAGTGTGCCGTGCACAGCAAGTGTCCTCACAGCTGGATTTAGGAGAGCCTTTCCCAAATCCATCTGTGGGGACACTTGCTATGCATAGGCCGAGTTTCTTGTTTCCGTGGATCTGCTCTTGTCCCAGCAGCGCTGATGCCCATCTCCTGCCCTCACTCCTGCCCTGCAGGAGGTGCTGCCCTGCCTGCTTGACCTCCCTGTTCCACAAGAATGATCTGCTTTGCCACATTCTTCAGCTGTTCCAACCCTTTGTATGGGGAATCACATTCCCTTTCTCTAGTCTTTCCAAGTCAGGCTTATTGCTTGTGGTTAATGGCCCAAACCAAGACTCTCCTGGCCTGAGGAGAGAAGATGGCCTCCTGGAAGGATGCACCTGATGGGAATCTCCTTAGTTCTGCCCCTGTTTCCTTTCCAGGCTAGTGGCAAGAGAAAGTGATGGAATTGAGAAATTTTTAGCCTCCCAGCCCTCTAGCTACATGCTGTTTTATCCACTAAAAATAGTTACTAATTCCACCTTCTGGGGAAACCTCAGACACAGGCTAGGGATTGGTGATGTTAGTTGTTGGCTTTGCTAATAAAATGAACTATGTGAACACTGGCTGTGAGTGCTGAGTTCTTCTTCCTCCTGTGCAGCCTAACATCTTTTAAGTTTTCTCCTGTGGTGAGATTATAAAGGGAAGAGGAGAATTTATTTTTCTTATTAATAATACAGTTATTAAATATTTTTGAGTGTCTTCAGGATAACTCAGTGTTTCTCTAGCTCAGGCTTTAAGGAAGTGTGTAACTTGAGAGCTTTATTTGTCACCAAAAACTAGAAAGGCTCAAAGTTTTCAGTATGAGAAGGGCCTGAGGAAACATCTGTGCTCTGTGTACACAACGAACTTACTTTTTGTTTTGTTTTTAATTTTAGCATAGGTTAAGATCTTGGTTCCATTTTAATTTGGGATGAGTGATTTCTTCCTTATCAAAATTCTGGTTTTGTTGAAACATCCAGAGCATGTGTGAAATCTGGTTCAATTTCAGGAAAAAAAACTCTTGAGAGAAAGTTTGTCAGTAAGGAGTGCTGAGGCAGACAGCAGGGTCTAAGCATTGGGATGTGCTGCAGGCTTAAAAAAGTCCTTTGACTGTGTGAATCTGCTTTGGTGGTGCTTGGAAATTTCATTTTTTGATATCCCCAGCAGCAAAATGGAGATGTGCCCAGAAATGTGCTTGAGCTTAGGGAAAAATCCAACTTTAACACAAGCTTTTGTCATTCTTATGTCTATAAAACATAGTCTGCAAAGCTTTTCTAAAGCATCAGCCTCAAATCAGGAAATGAGAGGATCACATCCTGCCACGCTGTGTCCTGGTTCTTGCTTGTGATTGACTTTTCTGTGGTGCTGCTGTCTTGAGTCCTGCTTGGGTGTTTGCCTGCCTTTGGGGAGCTGCCTGAAGGCTCCAGGTGTCCCTGGGGCTGCAGGGAGCAGTCAGTCTGTGCTGGGTGTGGAGTGGCCATGAGGGATGGCAACTTGTGTATCCTGGTGCTCACCTGTGTTTTGTACCATGGAATTTCTTCAAATACATGGCAGGGCTTTTTACTCCATTATTCTTTCCCAGTCCTCATCTCTTAAAGGAAGGCAGTAATTAAGTTTGGTATTTGTTTAAGCACAGAAAGGAGCTAAGAAGTTCCTAGGCTCTTGTTCGGTTGAAGGACAAGCCAGCATCTTTTTCAAGGCACGGATCTGCTGGGATGCACAATGCCAGGGACTCTCCCATCCTGTGTTATATTCATCAACCATCCTGTTGACTACAGAGTTGTTTCTGGCTTTCTTCAAAGCCTGTATGACTGTCTTATCAATTCTGAGAAAAGCAGGAACCCTTGAGTATGCAACAGGATGGCTGAATTGCAGAATTTGGAGTGTGTCTTGCTTTTTCCACAAACCACAGCATCTCTAAGAAAACTACTGGAAGATGTTTAAAACACCAGCTGTTCCTCAGAACTTGAGAATTTTTATTGCCCCTTTTTGCAAACCCTTATGTGACTTCAGAAAGGGCAAAATCAAGGCAATAAGTGATGTTTGATTTCAACAGCGTTACAATTTTTGCTTTCAGTTTCTAAGTCTTTGAGAGTTAATTATCATGCAGCTCTTAGACAGTAGTTCCATGATTTCTTAATCTGTTGTGTACACTAATTTTCTTTTGGCTAACTGAAGGGAGACATTTGTTTCTGCAGGGCATCAGCTGTGTCTGAACCACAAAGCTCAGGGTTAAGGGAGTCGTAATTACAGAGCCGTGTGGGCTTGCTGTGCTCATCACCAGCTAGAAATGTGAATCTCTCATCTTGACTTCCAAATCGAAAATGTAGCCATAGGTTAATCCCCTCTGCCTGCTCAGGTTCCACCTCTGCAGGCAGAGTGGCACCAGGCATGTGTTCTGCTTTCCAGTGTTCCGCTGTGTGTGTTGGTTTCAGTTATGCTTTAAATATTTGCAGTATTTATGGGGGAGAAGCTCTTTACCGAGAGAATAATTTGGTCTAAATCACTTCCTTGCAAAAGAACGGAGCACACATTCAGGACCTTCAACCTCTCATGTTCAATGCTTTTTTTTCCTTTTGAAGATAAGACAGTTTTCCTTACTCCTTGTTTGTCTCTCTACTTGCAGCATCAGCGAAAGCTTTCTCACTGTGAAAGGTGCAGCTCTCTTCCTGCCACGTGGGAATGGCTCATCTACTCCCAGGATCAGTCACAGGCGAAACAAACATGCAGGTGAGGTGTTGTATTGGGTGGCTGAGGCTTATCTACTCACTCCAGTTTCAAAGTCATCATCTCCTTCTCGGCTGCTGACACACATTTCTTCCTGCCCAGGTGTGGCTCCACGGCCAGTCTCCAGGATGCACAGTTTGGTGCTGATAGGAGAAAAATGTTCAGAACTCTCTTGTTTGTCCTGCACAACCAAACAAATGAGTGACATCAGGGCAGCACTCATAACACTGTGGAGAATTGAGGACAACAGCCCCCCAGAATGTCATCCTGTAATTTTTGTATGAGAGAGGGGTGGGAGGATTTGCCATCAAACCCTTCATGCATAGCACCGGGAAAAGGTTGTGATATGGGCTGAGTAATTGGACTTCTAATCTGCAAGTAGCCAGTTATGATGGGAAAAAAAGGGAGGAGGCTTAACTCTGTGTGGGGGTGAGGAAACCTCTGAGCAGAATCAGTGCTGCTCAGAGGTGTGAGCACAGAGTGAGTAACGCAGAGTCAGTTGTAATTCCTCCTCCTTTATCTGCTAAAAGTTTGATTTGTGTTTTTGCTTTGATTCCCTTTGAAAAGTGGGTCTGAATAATGCAACTCAAACATTTCAGGGTAGCTTATTTTTCATTGGTTATGTGGTGCTGAATCACTGATGGTGTTTTACAGGGATTTTCCCTTTCATTAAGCAATCAGCACGAATAAAACAACGTTGAGACCTTCAGACATTTGCATATGGGGCAGAGACAGAAACAGAGAGGCAGGACTTGGTGTGCTTTGGCAGAAGGTGACCAGCAAAACGTGATTTGGCTTGATTCCAGGTGTAGATCACCTTGTACTATGATACCACCAGCCTGTCATGCAGGTTTACAGCTATGCACCTGATGACTGGTCACCTCAAAGTCTTACTGCAAATGTATTTATAGAAGGAGTTAATGTCAGAAGGCAGTTAATTACACACTTCCACTGAGACATAGTACAAGTGGTACCCAAATTGCTTTGGTGAGGTGCATTAATGGCCAGTTGTCAAAAGAAAATGAATTGTTCTGAAACTTAATTTAAAGCTGGCATTGTGGTCAAGAATGAAGTGACATTGTCTTTGGTGTGGAAGTAGAGTCAGCAGGCTGTTAAAAGCTCCTCTTGGGCTGTCCTGGTTTTTAATCTCTCCAAAGTCCATTGCTGAAGCCCAGATCTCCCATTGTCTGGCTTTACCTCTCTGAAGAAACCCTTTGGTTGGTTTCCTTGGTGAACCTCTGCAAGGCAGCACAAACAACTGTTGAATGTCTCTCCTTGCCTCCTCTACTTGCTCTGTCTGACTTGCATGAGGTCTGGAGACGTTGGTGGAAAATAGTTGCTTGTCTAATCAGCCCAGAGCTCTTGGAAACCAAGATTGCCAAGAAAGCAAATCCGGTGTGTTGTAATTGCTTACAGCAAGATGTTTGGTACTGGAGAGGCTGACTTGCCTAGGGGGTGGGATTTTTGCTCTTAGAAGACTTATGTTATTCCCATCTTTTCAGTTTACAGGGTGAGATTTAATGAGGCATCAGTACCTGTCCTCTCCTTAGTTTCCCAGCTTGTCAAGGGATGTGAATGCTATAGTGGTTTTCTATGGTGCTTGGATGTTTCACTGAAGAGAGTCCTGTTCTTTTCTGTAGACTTTTCTAATTCCAGCAGACCAAGACACCAAGGGGTCGGTGTGTCACCTTCCTGAGCAAAACATCTGTGCCACCAAAATTAAATCAGTGATGTAGAGAGGTGGACTGGCTGCTGGCAGTGCCCTAGCACAGTGTGTGCGACTGTCTCCTTTCTGGGACACTGATAATCCGTGCTCAGCTTTCATTCCATGTGTGTTGTGACTTATCTCTGGCACACAAAATTAGAAGGGGGTAGAGAGCAGACATAACTTTCCAGTATGGAATTGTTGCCTATGGATGAAATAGTATTTCAAGTGGCTACAAGAGCATTTTCTAGGAAGGTTGGCTAACCTTCCTGACCTGCCTTTCTGATTCATCAGAGGTGCTCGAATCCAGTGGGAAGAGTAAATGGGTAACAGGAAATAATGCTCACACCCATCTCTTTTAATCACACCATCTCCAGCAGTGGGAATCATTGGCAGATTGACTAGATGCAGGACCAGCTGTCCACGCTCCTCTCGCTGGGCGGTCCTGTGCCACCTGGCAAGCTGTGCTGGGTGGGATGGTGGGCTTGCTTTTCCACAACAAACAATGCTGGAGGAGGCCAGAAAAGGATGTAACTTCCCTGGGGCTTTTGCCATCTCTGGAATACTCTGAATCACTTTTCAGATCCCACCCCAGCCAATGCTTTGCACCTAGCCTGCCAGCTCAAGGAAACAAAAGCATCTGCTCGGTGCAGGACAATGTGATAGGAAGCAGCAGTCCTGCCATGAATGCCAGCAAAGCTGACAGCTCTTCACAGGACAGGATGTGATATCTTTGTGCTGATTCTGGCATGTTAAAACCTTTCCTTTGGTTTCTGTTAATCCAGGAAGCTTACAAAATGCCTTGTGTGTTTGGGACTGAAAATGCTGCAAGTTGATTAAAGCTGGCCAAGGAAGCAATCCTTTACTTTCCAGCTCTGGAGCTCCCAAGGCTGGCAGGGGAATAGGGAGCAGTGTGGTAAACTTTCTGAGGATGAGGGATAATGGAGCTCCTTGCCTGAGCCTTGCAGAAAGGGTTGTCGTAGAAACTTCCTCTCTTTTTAAAGTATTTAAATAACCCAGTAGTCCTGGTGATGTTTTTTAAACTCTGGAAACTTCGGCTCTTAAGCTGGATCCTGAATTACTGTCAGCAATAGGTGGGAACTGTTACATTTTGGGGAGGGAAAAGCTGAGGTGAAGCATCTTTGATTTCAAGACGTGTGGATGCTTCTTGAATCAAATACTTGCTGAGCTCTTCCAGGCTGTGGGCAGGAGGTGCAGAAGGACCTCTTGAGTAGACTGTTCTCAGCAATTCCCACTGTGGTAGCAGCTGGAACTGAGCAGCACTGCCAGGATTTTGCACTGGTGATGACGTGGGGAGATCTTGTCTCCTGCTGCACCCCTGGGAGGACAAGCAGCCTTTCCTGTGTTACCTATCTTCCCACATATTTGCTGTGGACTTTTCTAATGCCAGCAGACCAAGACACAAAGGGATCAGTGTGTCACCTTCCTGAGCAAAACATCTGGAGGCATGTGCCAGCCCCTCCAGCCATGGGAACAATGTCCTTGGGCAGGAAGCAGCCTCAGGTGCTTGTCACGGCTAGTACTTTCCCTAGCACTGCAGAGTGCCTCAGCTTGTCCCACCCCCAGTTAAAAATGCAGTCCCAGAGCATTGTCTCATTCTCCATATGCTGAAATGTGTTTCAAGGAGGAAGGAAGAGGAGAGCAGGGAATGCCATGTCCTGCACAGCCCACTCCACACTAGCTTGTCCCTGTCCCATCCAGAGAGGGGCTGCAGCAGCCCTTCAGCCCTGCTGTGCCAACAGCTATAAAATCATTTGGAAACCATGCTGGGTTTCTTTTCTTCCCCTTCCCTTTTGTGGCACTTCTGGATTCTGCTCCATGTCCAAGGTTTCCTTATTTCTGAGAGTCCATGAAATAGCATGGATTCTAGCACCACTGATAAACGAGAAAGGGAGGACAGGGAGATTAACCAACCTTCCTAGAAAATGCTCTCATAGCCACTCCTGAATACTTGCTCCAGCTTCATGCTCTTCCCTGCAGTGTTGCCTAAACTCAGCTTCCCAGCTGTGGGGGAGTGGGAGAGTAAAGGATCCTCTTCCTGCTCATCTGTGCCACCCACCTGGCAGCCTTGCACTGTCCTTTCTGGGAGTGCAGATTAATTTTCCATGTAGTGGTTGTAAAACCAGCCCCTTGCAGGAGGTGCTGCTGCTGACTGACACTTGGGGGGTGATGTTGGCTCTCTATGGGTCGGGGAGTAGTGCTGAGAAGTCAGTGCAGCAGTGCCAACAGCAAGGCATCTCACTTGTCTTTCAAATGCTTGATGCTTTAGAAGCCTGGGACACTCAGCTCTTTTTAAGAGGGCTTTAAAGTTACTGCATGACTCTGATTTTTTTTTTTTCCTATTCTTTCTGTTTTCCTCAACTTCACCAGTGAAAGTGGAGCAGGTGTTTTCTAGGAAAAAAATGAGATGTTTGATTTTTCAGGTGACAGTTCTTAGCTGCTTTTGGGAGGGGTTGTACACATCTGTGTGTGGGCACATGATGCTCTAAGACAGGACTAATCTCACTTCAGGGGGGATCCTTTTGCCTAGGTAGTTGTGCACTGAGTAATAAGTTGGTGTAAAAGAATTATCAGATTTCTGGAGTGAAGCACGTGGTGGAATGAGATGTTGAACCTTGGGGTGAGGTCCATTTCTGCCTTGTCTGTTAAAAGAACAAAGAGGACCGAAACACTGTTTGTTTCCGTTATAAAAGATAACACAATTTAGCAGGAGAGAGTGTGGTGAGACAGGAACAGGTGAGAAAATGGAGCAAAGAGCAGCTGACTGAGAGATGACAAAACTCCCACATCTGATGGAGTAGGTGGGAGTAACAACTCTGACGGTGACGTGTCAGGTTTCTTGGTGGACATTTGCTCTGGCTGCACAGCCAGGAACTTGCATGTGATTTAAAACTATTTTTGTGCATTCACCTTTCCCTCTTGCCCACAGGGGATCTCCAGCAGCACCTGCAGGCCATGTTCATCCTGCTCCGCCCAGAAGACAACATCAGACTGGTAGGTTGGCTTTCTGCTTATCTGCTGTGAACTAATATAAAGGTTAAGCTCCACGTGACAAATACAGCTGTGTAACTCAGGAAAGCAGTGCAGTGTGTGTGTGAGTGGTTTCATCAGCAGGCTTGGAGAGTCTTTGCAACCACAAAGGTAGAAAAGCAGCTAATTATGAAAGGCCTGCTTGTTTGGTTGTTCAGTGAGACAAATTGTATGGCTAGAAGATTGTCTTTGAACCAAATGCTGAGTACATAAGCTCTAAAAAAGTCTCCTAGCAATTGCCAGAGAAGATGGGTATATAACTTGGTATCCTGTTTAAATCAAGAGTTGGTGACTTAAGTCTGACCAGCATGAGCACCTGCCCTCCTACATTAGTTCAGTTGTATTCCTCACTCTGCTCTCCTGACTTTTGGCATCCCAAAAGGCCATGGCTTGTCAGGAAGGAGCATGTAGGATCCCCATGTATCCATGCACCTATATTGAAGCTTGTCTTTCTGCTTTTCTGGGCTGTTCTCTCCTATAATGATGTAATGAAAATTAGGCATTGCTGTTCGTAGCATTCATATGCAGTCCTGAAGACCTCCAGAAGCCAAACATGAGCAGTGAGGAATTTGTCTGGGATGTGTTGAAGTGCTCTACAAGGTCAGGCATGACTGCAGTGTGTCTGCACCTCTCATCACTCAATAGCTTGAAGTTTCTTTCCTGTGTTGTCTTGGTGCATCTTAGCAACGTCTGCCCAAAGTAGGATTGTCAGCATCACAAGTCTTATTCTGGCACCTCTGGTTTGCTGAATCCTCCTGAGCTGTCCTGGACATGGACTGATTGTTATGAGTATAGCTAGGAAACAGCCAAGATTACTATGGAATGCTTTAACTTCCAAAATGACCACTGAAAATCATTTTCCACAAGCAAGCTAAAGGACCTGCTCCTATGCTTTGTCAGGCACACCTTGCTGTCTGTAAAATGTCAGTGAAAGTGATGGGAATGGAGGTTCTCAATGCTTTTCAGAATCTGAGCCAGGGTTAGAACATTGGAAGCTATTGAACAAGTCATTGTTCAGCAATATCACTGGCTACATTGTGTGATTTGGGACAAATTAGCCTTAACAGCTGAATAAGGACTTTGTGGGCTGAGACATAAACCCTTTTGTTCAGAGCTACTTTTGGAATGCTGAAATCTTGCATGAGGTTAAGTTCGATAGTCTACTTGAATTTAATTGATTCTTGACGAACGAAGGGTGAGCAGAGCTGCAATAGACTCTCTCATAAAACAGTAGATACAAACGAGATTTGAAATATAAACAGTACTGAGAGAAATGCATTCTCCTCATTTTGTTGGCTGCTGTCATTCAGAGGAGGGCAGGCTTCACAGCTCGGAGGGCAGCAGAGCAATCTAATCCTCTAGGAACATACACTTCAAATTTGGAACAACTCTTATTTCTGTTGGAGCTATTGGCAGAGGTTTTTAGCCTTCCATGAGAACAGGATTAGAGCAACAGTACCAGTGTAAGATCAGTAGGAAGGAGAACAAGGAGTTAAGAGTACAGAGCGATTGAATGTGTTCCTGTAGCTTAGCAGAGCTGTGGGCTTGAAAGTTGGAGCCATTTTTTTGTCTTCAGATATCTCAATGAGAAATGTGTTCTCGTGTGAAACACCTACTATCACAGAGCATGAAAAAGATGAAAGGTCAGTATGAACTTCTTGGAATGTGCTGTTCATAAGAGCTGGTGAAATATCACATCAGACTTCTGATGAAACAGGAATGCAGCAGAAGATAAAGTTGGCTTGTGTTTAGGTGAGCCTAAAACTAAGAAATATGTTGCTGACCCTGAAAGCACTACAGGAGATGATGACTTGTTCATGAGCAGACTACAAATAACCTTCCCAAATTGAGGAGAAAGCTAGCTCTGTGTAGATGAGCTGTTGAGAAAGAACTTTCCATCTCATCACAGTCCCCGAAGCCAGGTCATCCTCCCTAGGCTGACTTGGTTTTCAAATACCTTCATTTAAAAGGCATCAGACCACTTGGTGTGCTCCTGCTGTCAGGTGAGCATATGAACTAGTACTTAATGAAAAGGTTAGAGACTCATTTGTGATTTGATGGGCATGTTGGAGCTTTAACCGTAACTCCTGAGGTTGGCTGGTTTACAATGTCCAATTTGCTGTTCTATTATTCCAGTAAATTTAGCAAAACACATTATCTGCCCTAATCATAGCTCTTTGCTTTGTGCTAAGGGTGTAAGTGTTAAACCTAAAGAGCCACACTAAGCCATGCCCTGTTTCTCTTAACTGGCCTCTGACAATCCCATCCCATCGATGTGAAGCTGTGTGACCTTTGTTCACTGTTTGTCTCACCGTGTTCTAAAGGGTCTTGCTTTAAGACCTGCCATTACTGCTAGCCAAATTGGTTTAGCAAAGTAAGTTAAATTATGCTAATCCTCTTGCTGCTGGACTGTCCTCAAGAGAAGCAGAACAGAACTTGTGTATGGATGCCCCAGACACGGAGCAGCTGCATCTGTTTTAGACAAGTCTGTGCTTCTGTTTGAGGTTTGCTTCCTGATGTAGATAATTACTTTAACCACCAAGACCTTGGTGATTACTTGCTCTTCTAGGTTTGAGAGCACTTTTCTGTTGTCCCACAAGTGGTTAGTTGTAGAAACAGCCATCTTGAGCAGAATTCACACCTTGAAGGACTGACCACTTTGATCCTCCGTGTTCCCAAAGGAATCCCAGTGACTCAAGAAGCAAGAAGGAAAAGAAGGCTGGTTTTAGCATGACTTACCCTAAGGAGATGGGGTGGGGCACAGTCTGACTGTACAGAGCACGGCTGTCTGCTGCCATCAGCATTTGGGGAGTTTCTCTTAGTCTTTGGTCCCATTGGACAAGTGTAGAAGACACTGTCAACACAGTCTCCTGCCTGCACTTGCTATTCTGTCCCATCACTAGAGCTGCTGCTCCCTGCAATGCCACTGGGAATGTTTCCCTGCCGCGCTCAGCAGTCCCTGCAATAGAGCACTCTGGTGGGATAGTGAGCTCTCTTTAGCTGCTGGGCACTGTTGTAGACTCCACCGCGTCTTGTGGTCAAGACTTACCAGCTAGTGGACAGGCAAGGTGTGAGGAGGTCAGAGAAGGCTTCCTCTAAGTTGGGAGGTGCCATCCTGACCTGAAGACCTAGTTGAAAAGAACTAAAGGAGCATGTTGGGAAAAGCAGCCTGCTCCTGTGAGATCCCACACCATAGTTGTTTTGTGGATAAAATCACTGTTTAAACCAGGCCTCTGAGCCATGACCTCCTTTGGGCCACCAAGTGGTGTCTGCAGGAGCAGTGGCTCGGGAGAGCTGCTGGTGTTTGAGGAATTTGGGTTCAGTTTGTGAAGGATGTCAAACACCACCTCAGACTTCAACTGTTGGGTCAGAAGGAAATCAGCAACCAGATCCCATTGCAGCACAGGGCAAGGCTGGTCTGGGACAGCTCCTTCTTGCCCATGTTTGCTCTCTGCAGGCCCTGCTCAAAGTTCAAGCAGCAGTTCAACAATATGGTAAACACTGAGGCCAGAGTGTGTTTTGGGGTTGAATTAGGCTGTCCGAGGTTAAAGTTCAGCACACAGAATTAAGACACTTCCTTTCTAGGGATGTCCTAGTTTCTCTGGTTGGGATCCTGTGACTAAAATAACTACAAATGGCTTGGAACAGAGTCCAAGAAGTGTTGCAAGTAAAGGCTGCCTGCTGCAGATGTTTATAGGCAGCACTGGGCTCCTTTCCCCAGGCAGCTCACTAACCAGCAGGCTGTCTGTAAGAGTTGCTGGAATCACTTCAGTTCTCACTTCTCATGGCAGCACACCTCAGTGCAGCCTTTCAGGAGCTTCAGGGCTGGTCTGACATTCACAGCTGAAGTTCCATTGCTGTTCTCTGAATGCTCTTAGTAGTGTTTGGGGGAGTTTCAGGTGAACTTGGGCATCCTCTGGTCCTGCTAAAGCTCTGTTTGACACTGTGATACATGTGGTTGTGGCAGGGGGAACGAGCCACAATAAATTTTTCTAGGCAATCTGAATCCAGTGATGGATATGGCTTAGTCATGGGGATGTCTTTTCCTGCCAGGTGTAAGGCAGTAAGGTTGCATCTGCACCAGGGAAGTTGCCAAGAGAATTCAAAGGATTGGCAGGAGACCATGTATGAATTAGATCCTGGTTGTCTGTCCAGCTGCCTGGGAAGGTGGTGGAAAGAGTCTCATTGGAGCTGTTGTAGCACACAGTAGTTCAAAGGAAAGCTCTGGTTCTCTGGGCAAAACCCTCTGAGAGGTGAAGAGCATGTTCAACATCTTGTCTGGCTGAACGTGTAATGGCTCGTGAAGCTCACTGGGCTGGGACCAGGCAAAGGGCTGTTCAAAGTAGCCTTGGTGGGACAGAGCAGGCCTGCAGCCAGATGTGCAGAGGGCACCAGGAGCACCCCAGCTGCTGAGGAAGGCACTGTGTGACAATAAGGCACCTCTTACCCAGCTGAGGAGTGTGGGACATCCATACTAGTCCAAACTGCATCACTGCTTCTGCGCCTGGCACTCAGCATGAAAAAGTGGCTCGTGAAGGTAATAGCACCTGTTCTGCTGATTGCACTGCTTATCTCTTCCCTTCTTTTCTTCAGGCTGTAAGACTGGAAAGTACCTACCAGAACCGCACTAGATACATGGTGGTGGTGTCCACCAATGGCAGACAAGACACCGAAGAGAGCATTGTCCTAGGAATGGATTTCTCTTCCAATGACAGGTACTCAACAGTGTCCAGGTGGGGAAAGTCCTTGTGTTCACCCATACACTGAGTTAAGTGTAGATATCACTGTCTAGTGCCCATGTTTTCTGGGGATGCACTGCTTCAGATATTTCCAGCCTTTTTTGAGATCCAGAATTCCCTTTTCATTTCTTGAAAGGACATGGCAAATGGGAAGGCAACAGTGCAGGTCAGCATCTCCTCCATTCTTCCAAGCCTCAGGCTTGTGTGAGGACATTGTGCCTTTAAGTGCCTCTGAATGGTCAGGTCTCCAAGCCCTGCACACCAGAGACAGGGACAATTTGCATGCAAAGAAAGAAAAAGCTGCAATTAGAGAAGCTGTACTTCAGGGTTCAGGAGTGCAGGTAATAAGAAAATGACTGTCAGGCAGCCCCTTGCCAAGGGCATGGCACAAAGGGCCTGATGGGAATGTCAGGGTTGGTGATGGCAGATCTTATACAGCGTGTGCTCTCCCCAGACAGCAGTGTGTCATCAGGGTTTAGTGCTTCTGCTTTATTCATTATCCTGCTGCCCACAAGGCTGCAGAATGTGGCTGGGAAGCAGCTTTTGCTGCTGGTGGGACTGTAAGCCAGGAAGCAACACTCCAGCAACTTTAGGGGCAGAATCTTCATATTTGGAAGGGCACATTGGGCACTTTGGAGAGGGCATGGAGGCACATGACTCTCTTAAAAATAGTTGTAAGTAAATACTGGCCTGTGTGGGAAGAGAATCATCTGAATATTCAAAATGTGGCTGGGAAGCAGCTTTTGCTGCTGGTGGGACTGTAAGCCAGGAAGCAACACTCCAGCAACTTTAGGGGCAGAATCTTCATATTTGGAAGGGCACATTGGGCACTTTGGAGAGGGCATGGAGGCACATGACTCTCTTAAAAATAGTTGTAAGTAAATACTGGCCTGTGTGGGAAGAGAATCATCTGAATATTCAACTAATTCTGGAAGGTTCATACTTATCCTTGCTTCTAGCACAGCTTACTACAGTGAGAGTGAGTCTTACTTTTGACACTAGTTGGAATAAAATAATTCCAGGTAGTTAGCAGGGTCACCAGAAACATTTTTGAACTATTTGGCTATGAAATTGCCTTCCAAATGACCTGCTGATCACAGAAGCCATCATGCTTAGTCTCAAGTGGCTTGGTTTGGATGTTTAGCTTGGCTGATGCCTGCTAAAACAGAGGACCAGCTTGTTGCTGCCCCTGGTTCCTGTCTCCCTGCACATGTGTGCACAGCTGTGGCTCAGAGATGCTCTTGCTGTGGGGTAAGAATAACTTGTCCTTGCACAGGTTGCTGTGAGCTTGGAGCTCACTATTGGCTGTGATGTAGCAGCACAGCCACCTTTGATAACTGAGAGCTCACTGGTATTCAGTCTCTAATAACATACTGGGGTCACTTTAGCTTTCTGCTAGAGTTACTGAGGTCCTGGATGGTCACTCTGATACGTCCTCCCCTAGCCCACTTGGTATTTATAACTCCATGTAGACTTGTTGCTATGGTCTCTGATAAGAGCTTGCTGAACAGTATCACTAAAAATACCCCAACCACCTTGGGAAGCCTTTTAAAAACACATCTTTCCATGAGCTCATCTCATGTTGTCAACAGAAATAGCTGCGTGCCGCAGTGTCTCCTTGTGCTGGGCACCAGGGCTCCGAAGCCTGGGCTCGTCCTCTTCCCCCACTTCTCATGAGCTGCACAGGCTGCTGGGGGCGTTGGGGCTTGTGGAAATTTGAGAGCACCTAGTGCAAAGCAGAAGAGCAGGAGGCAATTGAATTTAGCTCTTCAAGAGGCTGCTTTGATTATGGAGCAATTTCACAGCTTTTTGAGACTCGGCTTTTTTCATTTGACAACCTGGTGCAGGTTGTGTTGGGTTCCCCCACTCCTGCCTCTTTTCCATCACTTGATTTCTGCTTTTAACTTGGCTTTTTTGCTCAACCTTACAGAAAGCATGCAACTGAGGGCAAAGAGTGCAAAGCAGCTGAGAGAGGAGTGGGATTGCCAAGAGGTGTCTGTCTCAGTTGGCTGTTGTGCTCATCCTCAAGGTGTGGGAGGGTGAAGAAGGTCCAGGAGTCAACCATGGGCGATAGGCTGTGATTGCTAACCTACCATGCTGCCAGTCACCCTGCTAGTCACTCCACTGCTCCCAGTTTCCAGCAGCTGTGGCTGAGGGACAAACAAGAAAACAAAGCTGTGGATTGCAAAATCAGAGCTAGGAACAAACCACTTGAGCCTGAGAGGGACTAATCTGTAAAGAAAGCCTTGAGCTGACCAAAGACTGAGCCCCCTCTGACCTTCTGCACAAAGCTCACTGCTTCTGGATCCTGTTTGCTCTTCTCCTGGGTGTGTTAACCCTTTAGGCTTCCTCAAAGGTTACTGCTGTACCCTGAATCTGGTTAGTGATCCTTGCCAGATCCCTGTAGAACAACACTGTCACTGTTTGTCCCTGAAGCAATAGTGGGATTTTTCCTTTTATTTTTTCCCCTAATGTGTACAAAAATATGCAACAATTGCTGTAAAATTAGCATGATGCTGTAGTAGATAGACTGACCTTCTCTTTCTTACTGCAGTAGCACTTGTACAATGGGCTTGGTGCTGCCACTGTGGAGTGACACCTTGATCCACCTGGACGGCGATGGGTGAGAGTCTTTTGTAGGTTTTGGGTCAATAGCAGAGGGTCTCCTGTGTGTGAGCTTGCAGCAGGGTGTGTGGGGAAGGATTCCATTGGTTGCAGAGCCCTTACAGGTCCAGTAGACCTTCTCTATTGACCTGTATCAGGTTAGTAGGCTCAAAGCCCTAAATCACAGTGGTTGTGGCAGGGAGCACCAATAATTGACTTATCTGTGAATAAACACGCACTGAGACAGGGGCTTATGTGTGTGTTTAAGCTGGAGTAAAGGAGCTTTTACTGGCGAGTGGGTGTGTAGTGAAAGCTCCTTAAAAGGATTCTATTATGTGTTCCTCAATCACGCTTGCAGCAGGCAGTGCTCAGTCCAACATAAAACAAGAATGATGTTTCTCTGCCAAATAGACACCTGACTTGCAGACTCCTGTTTGTGCCAGTTACACAGGCTGTCCATTGCAGTGCATGGATTGACTTTTCTTTCCTTGCTAGCTGCCCCAGGATCACTTTAGCTGGACTCTGTTGCTCCCAGCTGTGGCACTGAATTTGTGTTGCCAAGGTAAACAGCACAGCCCAGCACTGTCCCACTTAGTTTCATTCCCAAACAGCAGCTGCTTAAAAACGTTATCTTAGAGCTTTTAGTGTGCTATTTTGCTCTGTTTGCTAGCTGAACTCGGCAATGTATGCATAGGGCTAGGCCTTTGCTGTTCTAATGTGCTACAGATTATCAGTTATTAACTAAAAAGTGACTTTTGGGACACATTTTCACTGTGCCTCTTCTCTTCTCACCAGAGGGTTCAGCGTATCAACAGATAACAGAGTGCACATATTCAAGCCCGTGTCTGTACAGGCAATGTGGTGAGTACTTACTATAAGCTGCCTCAGCAATCCTTTTTCCAGGTGTTTTGGCTACTTAAGCTTTTAAAAAGCAAGAGCTGCTTTATGTTACTTATATCTTGAGACCTGCTCAAGCAGACAGAAGTTTTCTTCAGAGACAGGGAAGGAAGTTTGATACCAAAGGAAAAAAAAAAGCCACGTGAGTGCTGGTATGCAGCACCTTTGTCTCAGCTGGGGGCAGGAAGGAACAGGATGATTTTCCTTTCATAGGGCTGCTGCTTTGTGTCTCCCCAAAGTAAAATTGCTCTGAGTATATTTGAAATATTGAGACGTGTTCATTGTGACAGCGAGAAGGACAGAGAAGCTGTCTGCATTTTTCTTTCCTTTTAGGGTGGCTCATGTTAGAATGTAATGGCTGTGAAAGTATTTCTGGCTCAAGCTTCTTTGCATTGCAGAAATGCATCGCCTGTCAGGGTGTCATGCTTCTGTCACCCCAGTGATTTTGACTTGGATCCTTCTGATCCCAGTCAAAGATTTAAAATAAGCTAAAAATAGGAGAGGGGGATTTGTTTCCCAGCAGCAGCTGAAGAAACTTCTGATATCCCTTGTGCAATGAGAGAGGACAGACACCTAAACACCTCGGTGCAGTCCTAAGCCTTGGTTGTACAGCTCTGATTCCTGGGTGTCCCTGCCCTGCACGTAGGGGTGTTGATGGCACAGTAGGAGCTGTCAGCACCCTGTCTTGGACACAAACTGTGCATCTTATTTAGGGCTTAGGTAGTTGCAGCAGATTTGGAGCCAGAGACACAGGTGCCCTCTGAATGGTGGGCACCTTCACCATTATCCAGACTTGGCTTGGCATACACCAGTTAAGACATGCAAGCTCTGGCAGCGTGTGGCTCTCCACACCCTTGCAGGACATTGTCAGGACTCTTGCACTGGGATTTGTACCAACTGATGGGACATGAGCAGCATCCTGGATTTGGCTGCTGCTTTGTGCTCCATACCAGCCTGAGGAAGAAATTATAATCTTGCAAGTATTGTTCCCTTCCTAGGTCTGCTCTGCAGAGTTTGCATAAGGCCTGCGAAGTGGCACGGAGCAACAATTACTATCCAGGGAGTCTCTTCCTCACGTGGGTCAGTTACTATGAGAGCCATATCAACTCTGACCAGTCATCGGTCAACGAGTGGAATGCCATGCAAGATGTGCAGTCCCACCGGCCCGACTCGCCTGCCCTCTTCACTGATGTGTAAGTTGGTCTGGCTCTGCTGTTTGCCTGTCAGGCACTGCACTCTTCAGTGAAGAGACACTTTCCACAAGAGATTGCTCTTAATTAGGTATTAATAAGGAGAGGTTTCCTGTTCCAGGTAATAAGCAGACTCCTGGTGAGGTAAACACCAGCACTGGAAGTTTAGCCCTCCTGGGGCTCCCTTGTACCTCCTTCAGACTGTTTTCTGTTTAGTTGTTTGCCTTGGGCTTTAGGCTTGCAGACCTTTGCTTCTGCAAGTCCTGTGCTGCCAGTGAGAGAGGTGTGGTGTACCTAGTCCCTCCTCTACTGGTTTTATCCTTTAGTTTCCAGGCCTGGAGTCAGGAACAGGTTTCTCTGGACTTCACTCTTACGCTGGCATGTGTCTGAGCACATGCTTAGAGTAACATGGTCTTTTTATCTTAGTTCATTTTGCTGTAAAGTGAAGTGTTTATGTATGGAACTTCTGAGCCTGTGAGCTCAGAAACATCATCTGATGGATGGGATCATCCATCTGATACACCTAGGAATGGGAACAGAGCAGTGCAGTTTTTCATCATCCTGAGGAGCTCAGCAAGTCTGGAACAGGACAGTGTAAAGGTCCCAAGATGCCTCCAGCTAAATGTTTGGATATGTGATGATAGATGGTCCAAAAGAGTGGCTGAGATAGATTGGTAGACACTTTGGAAAGACAAAATTTATAGTCTGTATCAACAGTCAAGGTTTACCACCCCTGTAATCAGTAATTGCTGATGGTACTGATACCATGTAACCTCAAAGGTAGTCTGTGGCCAGATGTGATGCCAAGTGCAAGGGCCTAAGTTGCCCAGTGTGTAGTAGAAGAAATGACTTCACTGGGCCCAGCTGCTTTCCCAGGATAATAGTGCCTTTGGTTGATTTATGCTCCCAGATATTTCCTGTTGTTGGAGTTCAGTGAGTGAATAATGATGCTAAGCAGTTGTTCAGCTGTGAACAAGTCTTCACACTTGATTGTTTTTTAATGTGCAAGGAGGGTAGTAGAAAAGTTTTGGCAGGCTGTCAGATTAATATTTTCTTGCAGCTTTTCATATATAAATTTTATCTAGCCCACTCTTGCCCTGGTGGCAACAATTGAATTATTTCCTGGGGACACTTAAATAGCATTCTCTTAATTGAGTCCTGAAATAATGCATGAGGTTAAAAGGACCAGGAACTTTCATGGATTTTATTTGTGAACCACCAGTTGGACACTTGTAGTGTCTGTGCCATTGCCATCCTGGCAGTCTTCCAGAGAAAGGGAAAGGTGGTGCAAGATGTCACTGCTGAGTCCCTTCTAAAGATGCTGGTGAGCCAGCCCTGTGCTGCTGCTCTGCTGCAGCTTCCCCTGGTGTTAGTCAGGCTATTTTTGCAGCTGGTGATAAGGCCCCTGGCAGCAGAGGCGGGAGGAATGCAGAGGCTTAGCTGCCCTGGTCTCTCCATGTAAGGAGTTTTGGAGCTGTTACCTTTCCAAGAAAGGTAGGGAGAGGCTTAGATATTGCTCCAGAGGGTATAATGCAGCCTTCCCAATTTAAATTTTACCAAATACCAGAGGTTCTCTGGATGACTACAATGGATTAGGAGCATTCAGTTGGTGTCTTTCATATACAACTGGGAATCTAAACTGGGCTTTGCAGTCACCTGAATTCCCTCCAGCTGAGGACATTGCTTGGGGGAAGTAGTGTGAGAGACTCTGTAGAGTACCCAGTCTATACAGTACCTGGTTTAAAAGTGCCATGATTCCAGTTTGTTTCCCCTCTTGGTGACTCTGTTGCTTTCCTCTGATAGCCCAACTGAGCGGGAACGCACGGAACGGCTAATTAAGACCAAGTTAAGGGAAATCATGATGCAAAAAGATTTGGAGAACATTACATCAAAAGAGGTGAGCGGTGAGGGAGCAGCACTGGAAGTGCTGTTGTGCAAACTAGAGTTCTGTACTTTATGCCATGAAGAAAGGCTAGAACGAAAGCTTCACATGGCTTTCTTGTGTCCCTCCTTCCCACCCAGATACGCACGGAGCTGGAGATGCAGATGGTGTGCAACCTGAGGGAGTTCAAAGAGTTCATTGACAACGAAATGATAGTGATCCTTGGGCAGATGGACAGCCCCACACAGATATTTGATCATGTCTTTTTGGTAAGTCTAACAGTGAATTCAAGAGTAAACACTCTGAACGCTTCTCACTATGACTTGGTTGACACAGAGGCCTCTGGAGGAAGTGAAAGGAATTCTGAAGGAGAAATTGGTTGATCCTGGGGTCAGGTACTCCTAAGCAGGACACTAGTGCTACTGAACAAGAGCAGCATGGCTTTTGTTCTGTACTGAACTTGTACTGTACTAAAGTATTTGCTGTACTAAGCCTTGCCACAGAGCACCAGCCAAGCTGCAGACCCTGTCACTAGAGGATAGAAGGGGAAAAGTCTAAATTCTAACTGTTTTTCAGGGATGTTTCCATTGATGTAAGAGCAGTTTTGTGGCTTTAACTGTCCAGGGTACCCACACACCGAGGTCTTGGAGCATACATGTGTTTGAGAAGGGCATAACTACAGCAAAGAGAGAGGGGAGCTGTGTAACGTTCACTAGGAATGATGCTCTTCTAACATGGAAAGCTGAGTTCATGTAATCCAGGAGGAACAGGGGAGCATAATAAAGAATCCTGGAGATAAGTCACTTAAGGAAACATAAACATTTTGCTGTTTAATGTTTTGCTTGCTTAGTTGCCTTCCATTGCTGCTGGGGCCTGTCTAATTACTGCAGCTCTGGTGAGTCAGCGCTCCACTGGATTTCCCAGCCCTGGAGCGACGGACGCAGGTTTGGTTGGGCTGTCTAGCCTATGAGGTTGGCTCAACTTTAAACAAAACCATTCCTCTTGGACCAGCTGGTCTTTCCAAATGGAGAGGGCCTCTCCCAGTCTCCTGAAGCTCAGTGCTGTGGCTCAGAAGGGATGGTCTGTGTTAATGTGAGCACTCCCAGGATATCATGCTGGGGTAGAGCCAGGAAATTTAAAGTACCTACGATGTAATGGATTATTTTTTTTTGCAGACTATGTGTTCTAGGGA